ACACACACACACACACACACACACACACACACACACACACACACAGCTATCCATTTGGGGACATTCCATTGACTTCCATTAATCACATTTCCACAGCCTAACCCTGACCACAAACCTTAAGGCTCAATTCACACCTTGGTCCTACACCCAACCCACAAACCACCAATGGCATTTAAACCAAATGGGGACTCGACTTTTGTACCCAAATGCACCAGTTGTCCCCAAAGGAAGGCATTTTGTCCTAATTGCCCCCAAATGTCATCAGAAACAACCCCTCCCCCCCACACACACTCAAATCTAATTCAAACAGTCAGCTGCAAAAACAGTTTGAAGCAAAGTTTTACAAGAACTTCTGATTCACCATGACAGAAAAAACCCCAAACTGACAGCTTTGTCAGTTTGCCTGGTTCTGATAGAAACTGGTTTAGAGGAGGTGCAGTGGTATTGTTGAGCAGGCAGAGGGCAGCAGAGACCAGCAGCAGCCTGAGCTGAAAACATCCACTCTCCTATTACTACACCTCATCAGCTGGCAAAGTAAAACAGACTTATGTGCAATTTGTGATAAGCAAGGTTTGTGTTTAGAAAAGTCAGCTGGTGGCCATCTTGAATTGCTGGTTTGAAATATTCATCAGTTTCAATAAATCCAGTGATACTTTTCTGCAAATTTTATTAAAATCTGTCCAGTGGTTCCTGAAATATTTTGCTAACAAAGTTGACTTCAAACGTTTAAAACAAAGCTCTTGCACCATGTATGCAGAGAATCTGAGAGGATCAGTCTCAGCTACTACCACAGGACTTATACCACAGGCCAGAATAGAAGTCACGTGATCCTCAGGTCGCCAGTTGAATAGTCCTGATCTGGGATATGCAGCCCTCTCTCACTCCATTGTTATGTTTGAAAAGGCAGTTTAATAAACATCTGTTGTAAAAATCTTGATTTGAAATGTTGTTTACTTTGATATAAATTCATCATTTCATGTCAGTCTACTAAACTGTCAAATGAATTTACTAAAAGAACTAAATAACCTACTAAATAACTTACTAAATAAACTAAATACTAAAAAAAGTTTAAGATAATTTAGTCCTAACTTAAAACTGCATTTAACTAACTGGTCAGGCAACATTATGGCAATTAAACCTAAAATGCAAATGTTAAAAAACTAAAACTARTTGAAGAAATTTGAACAACGAGAAAAACATCAACCAAAAAAAATTCAACCATTTCTGGATGAAACTGTAAAAAACAAGAAGTCTTCACCTGATCCTCAAGTTGAACATTATTATGCCCTGAGCTTCAATTTCACTTTGATTTGGCCYTGATATTATTAATGTTGCTTTAATCGCTATGAAGGTTTGAAGGGTGTTGGTCGTTGAAGGTTGTGCTTTGCAGTTTTGGAACAGGTATTTAATACAATCAAAATAAATGTGCTGCTCCTACAGGGCAAGAACAATTCAAATTGTTAATCATTTTTGGGTTCAGTTATTCAGTCAATTCAATCACCTTACCAAAAATTTTATTA